AAGAACACATAAAAGCAGAGCAAACAAAGAATATTTCAGGGGCCGGGCATGGTGGCTTACGCCTGTAATCCCAGCACTTTGGGAGGCCAAGGCAGGTGGATCACGAGTTCAAGAGATCGAGACCATCCTGGTCAACATGGTGAAACCCCGTCTCTACTAAAAATACAAAAAATTAGCTGGGCATGATGGCGCGTGCCTGTAATCCCAGCTATTCAGGAGGCTGAGGCAGGAGAATTGCCTGAACCCAGGAGGCAGAGATTGCGGTGAGCCGAGATCGTGCCATTGCACTCCAGCCTGGGTAACAAGAGCAAAACTCTATCTCAAAAAAAAAAAAAAAAAAAAGAATATTTCAATACTGTAAATAGAGAAATAAACTGTTAGTGGATCAGAAGACTCAATATAAATAATTAAGATATCAATTCTTCCCAAATTGATCTACAGATTCAACACAATTCTAAAAAAAAAAAATCCCATCAAACTCTTTTCTGTAGAATCAACAAGCTAATTCTAAAAATGTTTATGGAAAACCAAAGGACCTAGAATAGCCAAAATATTTTTAAAAAGAAGAACAAAGAGTTTCAGTAATCAAACTACACTAATCAAGACAGTGGGTACAGATGTAAGCATGTAAGTAACAGGATAGGGCCTAGAAATAGACCCACATATATATACATGGTTGACTAGCTGTCAACAAAGGTGCTAAGATAATTCAGTGGAGAAAAAAAATCTTTTCAACAAATGGTGCTGGAAACAAGTGAATATTCACATGCCAAAAAAAAAAAAAGAACTTTGACATACTATATATGAAAATAATTCAAAATGGATCACAGACCTAAATGTAATACTTAAAACTACAGAACTTCTAGGAGAAAACATAGGAGAATGCTTTTTGTGACTGGGTCAGGCAAAGATTTCTTAGATATAAAAGCAAAAGCAGAAACCATAAGAGAAAAAAATTGATAAACTGAACATCATCAAGTTTAACTTCTGCTCTTCAAAAGACACACTGTTAAGAGGACAACAAGATAAGTCACAGACAGGAAGAAAATATTTGCAAAACACATATCTGAAAAGTAATTGGTGGCTAGGTGCAGTGATTCACACCTAATTCCAGCACTTTGGGAGGCCCAGGTAGGTGGATCATTTGAGATCAGGAAAGGAGTTTGAGACCAGCCTGGTCAGCATGGTGAAATCCTGTCTGTAATAAAAATACAAAAATTAGTGGGGCATGGTGGCAGACACTTGTAATCCCAGCTACTCCAGAGGATGAGGTGGGAGAATAGCTTGAACCTGGGTGACAGAGTGCGACTCTGTCTCATTAAAAAAAAAAAAAAAAAAAGACTGGCATCCAAAAATAGATGAAAAATTTTCAAAACCCAATAGGGAAACAAGCCTTTTGTTTGTTTTTTGAGACGGAGTCTTGTTCTGTCACCCAGGCTGCCATGCAATGGCGTGATCTTGCTCACTGCAACCTCTACCTCCCGGGTTCAAACAATTATCTTGCCTCAGCCTCCCAAGTAGCTGGGATTACAGGCGCACACTACCACTTCTGGCTAATTTTTGTATTTTTAGTAGAAACAGGGTTTCACTATGTTGGTCAGGCTGGACTCAAACTCCTGACCTCGTGATCCACCCATCTCAAACTCCCAAAGTGCTGGGATTACAGACATGAGCCACCACACCCGGCCCAAGACATTTTTTTTAAATAGACAAAAGATTTGAAGAAACATCTCATCAAGGAAGATACACAGATGACAAATAAGCCCATGAAAAGATGCTCAACATAATTATTTATTAGTGAAATGAAAATTTACACCACTATGAGATACCACCATAAACCTATTAATAGCTTTTTAAAAACTGACAATACCAACTGCTGTCCAGGATGAAGAGTTGCCAGAACTCTCACACATTGTTGGTGGGAATATAAAATGGTGCAGCCATTTTGGAAAACAGTTTGGCAGTTTCTTATAAAGTTAAACATAAACTTACTATGCAATCCAGAAATTGGAGGCGAGATTGGAGGGAGGCAGAGGTTGTAGTGAGCCAAGATCTTGTCACTACACTCCAGCCTAGGTGACAGAAACAAAAAAAAAGGACGGAAGCTTGGGCAACAAAGTGAGGCCCCATCTCTACAAAAAATGTAAAAACTAGCCAGGCATTCAGAAGACTAGGTCATATTAGGGAAAAAAAAATCAGCTTGGGGAATGGGTGTGTGCCTGTAGTCCCAGCTATTTGGGAGAGAGAGGAGGATCTCATGAGTCCAGGAGGTAGAGGCTGCAGTAAGCAATGATCGTACCACTACATACCAGCCTGGGTGGGAGAGACCATGTCTCTAAAAGAAAAAAGAAAAAGAAAGGAGGTGGGTGCAGGGGCTCATGCCTGTAATCCCAGCACTTTGGGAGGCCAAGGCAGGTGGATCACTTGAGGTCAGGAAGTCGACACCAGCCTGACTAATGTGGTTGGTGAAACCCCATCTCTACTAAAAATACAAAAATTAGCCAGGTGTGGTGGCGCACACCTGTAATCCCAGCTACTCAGGAGGCTGAAGCCGGAGAATCACTTGAGGCAAGACTTAAAAGACTAGCCTGGCCAACATGATGAAACCCAAGAGGCAGAGGTTGCAGGGAGCCGAGATCGTACCACTGCACTCCAGCCTGGGTGATGGAGCGAGACTCTGTCTTAAAAAAACAAAAAAAGAAAAAGAAAGGACATTCTGATACATGCTACCACATGGATGACCTTTGAGGATATTATGCTAAATGAAAGAAGCCAGTCACCCAAAGGCAAATACTATACGATTCCACTTACATGAGGTAGAGTAGTCAAAATCAGAGACAGAAAGTAGAAGGGTGTTGCCAGGAGCTTAGGGGAGGAAGAAATGGGCAGTTATTGTTTAATGGGTACAAAGTTTCGGTGTCTATTTTTTTTTTTTTTTTGAGACCTAAGTCTTGCTCTGTTGCTCAGGCTGGAGTGCAATGGCACGATCTCAGCTCACGGCAACCTCGACTTCCTGGGTCCAACCGATTCTCCTGCTTCAGCCTCCCAAGTAACTGGGACTACGGGCGCATGCCATTGCACCCAGCTAACTTTGCATTTTTAGTAAAAATGGGGTTTCACCATGTTAGCCAGACTAGTCTCTAACTCCTGAACTCTGGTTATCCACCTGCCTCAGTCTCACAAAGTGCTGGAATTATAGGCATGAGCCAACACACCTGCCCTGTTTTATTAAATATTGATACAGGGTCTTGTTGCCGGAGGCAAAAGGGACACTGGTCCTATTCCCTTTCCGATCAGGTTCACCCCAGGTTCTTGTCCTTCACTTACCCAAGAAGGGGAAAGGGGACAACTTGCCAGCGAAGGTGAGCACCTTGGAGTAAATACTGGACCCAAAAAGTTTTTTGCATAAAGTGATTTATTTAAGCAGAGAGAAAGAGAAAAAAGGAGAAGGGGAGAGAGAAACAGCTAGCTTTTACACCGAGTGAGGAGAAAGAAAAGCCGCTGTTACACTGAGTGAGAAGGGTTCCCAGAGGGGGAAAATCAGGGAAGGAAAACTCCTCTCATACTAAATGAGAGAATCCAGAAAGATGGAATCCAGGAGAGAGAAATCAGCTTTCACGAAGGTAGTGGAAGGTGACCCAAGTATGGAATCCAAGGAGGTGTGGAAGAAGAGAACTTTTAACCTGGGAGGAACTCCCACCTTCTCCAAGCCCCCTGGCCAATTTACTCCTTTAAACTTCTGCTGGAGTAATTGATCTTTGATCCTTTCCCTCGCAGTTAAACAAAGATGGTTAAGTCTCCCTGATGGAGACGTGGAGGAAGGCAGGAAGAGCATGTCGCTAGGAAGTTCCTGTCCTAGAAACTACGCCCCCTTGTGGACCTGGGAAGAGAACATATTCCCTCAGTCTCACTGTCGCCCAGGCTGGAGTGCAGTGGCAAGAACATGGCTCACTGCAGCCTCCACCTCCTGGACTCAAGCTATCCTCCCACCTCACCCTCCTGAGTAAGTGGAACTACAGACACATGCCACCATGCCCAGCTAATTTTGTTATTTGTAGAGACGAGGTATCACTATGTTGCCCAGGCAGGTCTCAAACTCCTGGGCTCAAGTGATCCTCCCACCTTTAGCCTCTCAAAGTGCTGGGATTACAGGTGTGAGCCACTGCGCCCAGCCAGAGTTTCGTTTTTATAAGATGAAAAGCATTATGGAGATGGATGGTGGTGATGCTTGTATAACATTATGAATGCATTTGATATCACTAAACTGTACAGTTAAAAATAGTTAAGATGGGGCCAGGCGCGGTGGCTCAAGCCTGTAATCCCAGCACTTTGGGAGGCGAGGTGGGTGGATCATGAGGTCAAGAGATCAAGACCATCCTGGTCAACATTGTGAAACCCCGTCTCTACTAAAAATACAAAAAATTAGCTGGGCATGGTGGCGCGTGCCTGTAATCCCAGCTACTCAGGAGGGTGAGGCAGGAGAATTGCCTAAACCCAGGAGGTGGAGGTTGCAGTGAGCCGAGATTGTGCCATTGCACTCCAGCCTGGGTAACAAGAGCAAAACTCCATCTCAAAAAAAAAAAAAAAAGTTAAGATGGTAACTTTATGTTATGTGTATTTTACCACAATAAAAAAAAATTTGCAAAAACATGAATGAATATCAGACACATTATGCTTGGTGAAAGAGGCCAGCCACAAACAGCTACATACTGTGTGATTTTATTTATATGAAATTCTGGAGAAGTTAAAACAATAAGGGCAGAAAATTGGTGAGTGGTTGCAGGGACTTGAGTGGGGAAGAGGTAGAAGACTGACTACACCAGGGCACCAAGGAACTTTTCAGGTTAATAGCACTATTCTGTATTTTTATTGTGTCAAATTATATACCTAAAAAGAGTTAATTTTACTACATTTATCTATATCTCAAAAGCCTAGTTTAATAAGAAAGTGGAGCATTCTACCCACACCAAGAACATCCCATACAAAAGCATCCTTCATACCTTTCTTCGACTTTAATGGAGAGAGAGTTGCAGAGGTTGTGAACATACTGGGCATAACTTTCTGCCTGGGTCATGTCATATGCAGTCAGATGAATGTTTAAAACCCCATATTCATAATCTGTCCCCAAATTAATGGGTCTCACTTCCACTTTTCCCCTCTTCTTCTTGGGCTAAAGAGAAAACAAAAAGAGAAAATAAATTAACATATTATACGAGAAACTCTAATAATACTATCTGGATATTTTTAAAAGTCAATCTTTCTAATAAATTTGTTCACATTTTGCTCTCGGGTTACCCTACCTAAAAACTGAAGTTCTCCTGTGAAGGAACGGGCAACATCCCCCACCAGTCTGGACTGTGACATCAGCCAATGCAAAGAGAGAGAATATTGCTATCATTACTTGAATATATGAATGACTGGAACATGAATACATGTGACCATCTTCTGCTATTTCCTTGTTTTGAGATTCACCTCCCATTTCTGGCCTTCTATTACTATTCGTCAACTGATGGGTTGTGCCAGATTAAAATATTCTTTTTTTTTTTTTTTTTTTTGGAGACAGTCTCACTCTGTCATTCAGGCTGGAGTGGCAGTGGTGTGATCTTGGCTCACTGCAACCTACTCCTCCCTACTTCTTCAAGCAATTCTCATGCCTCAGCCTCCTAAACAGCTGGGACTACAGGCGCCTGCCACCACGCCCGGCTAATGTTTTGTATTTTTCTTAGAGATCAAGTTTCACCATACTGCCTAAGTCAGTCTCAAACTCCTGAGCTCAGGCAATCCACCTGCCTCAGCCTCCCAAAGTACTAGGATTACAGGCATAAGCACCATGCCTGGTGTGAATTAAAATATTCCTAACCCATAGATGAATTAAGGGTTACATGAGCTCCCCAATTTATATTTTTTGAGACAGAGTTTCACTCTTGTCTCCCAGGTTGGAGTGCAATGGCACAGTTTCAGCTCTCTGCAATCTCTGCCTCCCAGGTTCAAGTGATTCTCCTGCCTTAGCCTCCTGAGTAGCTGGGATTACAGGTGCCCACCACCATGCCTGGCTAACTTTTACAATTTTAGTAGAGACAAGGTTTCACCATGTGGGCCAGACTGGTCTTGAACTCCAGACCTCAGATGATTTGCCTGCCTTGGCCTCCCAAAGTGCTGGGATTACCAGTGTGAGCCACTGCGCCCAGCCAAGCCCCAAAATTTATATGCAAAATTTTACATGTACATGTTTCTGAGGAGAGAATCCTGAGTTTTATCAGAATCATGAAAAAAATTAACAGAAAAGAATCTCAGTATTAGTTCTCTTCTACTCCTTCTAGCTCGAAATTCTACAATTGTGTACACAGCATTCCTTTTGAGAACTGAGAGGTAGATTATTATATTTCTTTTTTTTTTTTAAAGATGGGGTTTCCATGTTGGCCAGGCTGGTCTCGAGCTCCTGACCTCAAGTGATCCACCCACCTTAGCCTCCCAAAGTGCTGAGATTACAGGCATGAGCCACCACGCCCGGCCTAGATTATTATATTTCTTCCTTTTTCTGTCATACAAAATATTGTTTTAGTTCATATCAACTTACGTAGGCTGCTGTAAAAAGTTAAAATGAAGGCTGGCGCAGTGATTCACACCTGTAATCCCAACACTCTGGGAGGCCGAGGCGGGCAGATCATGAGGTCAGGAGTTTGAGACCAGCCTGGTCAACATGGTGAAACCCCATCTCTATTAAAGATACAAAAATTTAGCCGGGCATAGTGCCACACACCTGTAATACCAGCTACACAGGAGGCTGATGCAGTAGAATGCTTGAACCTGGGAGGCGGAGGTTGTAGTGAGTCAAGATTGGGCCATTGCACTCTAGCCTGGGTGAGAGGCAAGATTCAGTCTTTAAAAAAAAAAGTTACAATGAAGCCTAGGAAATATTTAATACAACATAGATGAGAAAGAAGAAAGCATCTCAACTGAAAATAATCTAACCTAAATGCCCATGAAGAGAGAGACTTATGGCTGGGTGAAGTGGCTTATACCTGTAATCCCAGAACTTTGGGAGGCCAAGACAGGAGGATCACTTAAGCTAAGCGGTTCAAGAGCAGCCCTGGCAACATAGCTACATCCCAACTCTACAAAAAAAATTTCTTAATTAGCTGGGCATGGTGGCAAGTGCCTGTAATCCCAGCTACTCAGGAGGCTGAGGTGGGATGATGGCTTGAGTCTGAGAGGTTGAGGCTGCAGTGAGCCATGGTCATACAACTGCACTCCAGCCTGGGCCACAGTGAGCACCTGTTTCAAAAAAAAAGAAGGGAGACTTATTAAGCAAATTATGCAGCTATAAAAAGAAGTAAGGAACTACTCCATTATGTAGAGACACTGGAAAGGTCTTTAAGGTAAAGTAAATGATAAAAGCAAACTGTAGACTAAAGTGTTCAAAATGTTGCCACACATATAAATGGGGGAGCTAGGCCCTAGAAATGTCATTGAGGTTGAAGGAAAAAAAAAAAAAAGAAATGGGGGAGCTAGAATAGATGTGTGTGTGTGCATGTGTATAATTACATACATACTTACCTGATTGCATATTTTAAAAATACCTCTGGAAGCATGTACAAAAATATTAGCATCAGCTGGACACAGTGGCTCATGCCTATAATCCCTGCACTTTGGGAGGATGAGGAGGCAGATTGCTTGAGCCTAGGAGTCCGAGACCAGCCTGGACAACATGGCATAACCCCATCTCTGCAAAAAACACAAAAATTAGACAGGCATGGTGATGTACACCTGTAGTCCCAAAACTTGGGAGGCTGAGACAGGAAGATTGCTTGAGCCTGGGAGGCAGAGTTTGCAGTGAGTAGTGACTGAGCCACTGCATTCCAGCTTGGGCAATAGAGTGAGATCATGTCTCAAAAACAATAATAAAAACAAAAAAACTCCCCCCACCCCCCAAAAAAAACTAGTATAATTGGTTGCTTGTGAGGCAACTAGCTGGCTGAGGCCTGGGGGTAGGAATGAGCATTTTAAACTATTTTTTTTTATTTTTAAAAATTGTTTAAAATGTAAATATTTTATCAATCTAATATTAGAATCTTAAAATCGGTTTGAAATTTTTTAGTAAATTTTTATTGTAACATATTAATATGTAAAAATACATAAGTTACACAGCTCAATAAATTTTCACAAAGTGAAACTACCTCTGTAATGAGTACCCTAGACAAGAAACAGATTGCTATGAGTACCCTAAAAGGTCTCCTTTCCCCAAATTAATAACCACTGTCCTGACTTATAAAACAATTTTGCATGTTTTAAAAATTCATGAAAATAGAATGATAGATACATTCTTTTTTGTGTCTTCTTTCATTCATTAGGTTCATAAGATTCACCAGGCATTACTTGGAATGGCACTTCTTTCCTTCTCATGTACTAGTCTCCACTGTATGAATATGTCACAATTTATTTGTCCTTTCTACTCTTGGTGGAAATTTGGGTTATTTCCAGTAATGGGGCCATTACAAATAGTAGTGCAACCAATATTCTAGTGTGTATCTTTTAGTGAACATATCCATTTCTGTTGGGGGTATACCTGGGAACTGAACTACTGAGTTAGAGAGTAGGCACAGGTTCCTCCTTAATTGATACTCTCAGTTTTACAGAGTAGTTTCCAATTTAGACTTCCACCAGCAGTGTATGAGAGTTCTAATTGCTCTACATTCTTCTGGCTGGTTTCTTTGTTTTAGCCATTTTGGTTGGATACGTAGTGGTAATGCAATGAGATTTTTTTGTTTTGTTTTGTTTTGAGACAGAGTCTTGTTCCATCACCAGGCACCAGGCTGGAGCGCAGTGGCGCGATCTTGGCTCACTGCAACCTCGGCCTCCCAGGTTCAAGCAATTCTCCTGCCTCAGCCTCCTGAGTAGCTGGAACTACAGGCACACGCCACCACGCCCGGCTAATTTTTGTATTTTTAGTAGAGATGGGGTTTTACCATGTTGGCCAGGTTGGTCTTGATCTCTTGACTTCGCTATCTGCCTGCTTTGGCCTCCCAAAGTGCTGAGATTACAGGCATGAGCCACCATGCCTGGTGCAATGAGGCTTTAACTAGCATTTTCTTTATGTCTATTGAGCCTGAGTGCCTTCCCATATGATTACTGGCTATTTGAATACTGTCTTTTGTCATCTGCCTATTCAAGTATTTTCCTCATTTTAAAAATTGGTTTGTCTGCTTTTCTCTTATTGATTTGCAGAGGCTCTTTACATATTCTAAACATGATCCTTTGTAAGGGCTACAAATACCTTCTTCCTCTCTGTACCTTCTCTTTTTATTTTTTAATTTTTTGTAAGACCAGGATCTTACTCTGTTGCCCAGGCTGGAGTTCAGTGGCCCAATAACAGCTTACTGCAGCCTTGACTTCCTAGGTTCAAGTGATCCTCACACCTCAACCTCCCGAGTAGCTGGGATTACAGGCATGAGTCATTATATCCAACTAATTTTTGAATTTTTTAAAAATAGAGACAGGGTCTTTCCATGTTGCCCAGGCTGTTCTCAAACTCCCGGGTTCAAGTGATCCGCCAGCCTCAGTCTCTCAAAATATTAGAATTACATTACAAATATTTGACTTTATGATGGTATATTTTGATGAGAAGTTCTTTTATTTGTATTTATCTCTTTTTTTTTGGTTTAACTTGTCATTGATGAAGCTCAGATTTTTTTTTAAGGATAGGGTCTCACTGTATTGCCCAGGTTGGAGCACAGTGGCACAACTGTAGCTCACTGCAGCCTGGAACTCCTGGTCTCAAGTGATCCTCCTGCCTCAGCCTCCCAAGTAGCTGGGACTATAGTGCACATTACGATGACTGGCTAATTTTTAAAATTTTTTTGTAGAGATTGGGGGGGGGTCTCACTCTGCTGCCCAGGCAGATCTCAAACTCCTGACCCCAAGCAATCCTTCCATCTCAGCCTCCCACAGCACTGGGATTATAAGAGTAAGTTACCACACAACAGGCCTCAAGTTCTTATTTTTTATTTATTTTTTAAGTTCTTATTTTTAATGTAGTCCAATATATTCATTTTTTATCATTATAGTGATTTTTGTGTACTGGGTTAAGAAATCTTTGCCTACCTTCAGATCATGGAGCTATCCTTGTATTTTACCTCCTAGCAGTTTTATTATTTTAATAATTAAATTTAG